TTTGACGACACCCTCAATCACAGGTGTTGCAGACGGTTTGAGCAGTGAATTTATAATGATAAAATCAGGTACGGGTGACACACAAATTTCCTAAACCAGCTTAAGGCACACATTGTATTTCACAGCTGCAGCCGTCTGAACAGTACGAGACAGAAACTCTGAAGACCCCCCCGAACACCAAGAAGCTGATTTCACTTCAGCATTTCAGGTCAATGGCTTTGAGAAGTAAAACTGCAGAAGCAGCTGGAAGTAGCTTGTCCTGCCAGGCTGCTGACCTTGTTCCTTTCAGATTCACCATTGTCCATGTTTTTGTTGCCTATGTGCGGCAGGTATTTCACTTGTCTGAATGAATCAGCTGGGAAGGGGGAACATGGAGAAATTACCAGGGTTTCTGGAGAAACAATCAGGTTCAGGTACATTGCATTCTGTGTAACCATTTAATAAGTAGGGAAATAGGCAGGGAAAATTTCAAGATGAGAAAGACCTCGGGGCAAAAAGGCTAATGTGAAGTGGGATTAAGCAAAAGCTGCAGGAGCTGACTCACACCATGCTTAGCATTACAAGATAGGTATCTTAATCAGAACAGCTAGTGCATTTTTACAACACAATATCAATTCACTGTGTTTTTTCCTGGATACCAGTTTTATGCAGTCATGCTGCATGTGAACAAATCGCTCCCTAGCAATTTCTCAGCCTATTTTAATCAGATTTCAAATAGGAATGGAGGCTTTAGAGATTACATCTTTCTGTTTATTTCCTTAAATTGGCCATAGGAAGAAGTGAGAAATCCTATAAGTACCTCTACTAGGGGAAAGGCTGGAGAGTGCCCTCATATCTGATTAAACATAACAGGATCCACATGGGAGTAAGCCTTTATAAACCTCCAAAAGTGGGAAAAAGCTTTCATCGCATCTCATACCTTCATTATCATGAAAACCAGCATAGCGTAAGGCATGTCTTACAGGAACCACTAAGTTTCCTTGGTTCTGGTGCTCAGCAAGTACCTTGTTTGAAGGTGATTTTGTCTTGTTACACCAAGGTTGAAGTGTGGTTTAAATTCCTTGTTATGAAAGCTTACTACCAACCGCAGAGCCAACCTCCCCAATTCTTTTTTTTTTTATTTTTTTTTTTTTTATTTAATTTCTCTCATTGTCTAAATGGCTTAGGTGAAGCCACGTGGAAAGTCTTTGATACAGCCTTAAAGCCAGAAATCATACGGACTTAAATAACTATCAGGAGCAAACCCAAAACTTTCTTAATTTGAGCACTGCAACTGAAAAGTCTTTGTAGCATTTCACTAAAGTCATGAGTCTTCACAAAATTAAAGGTATAAACTAAAAGAGGAAAGCAAGTGAAATCGATACACTTAGAGGAAAAAGCAGCACTAATGAGTGTCTGGCCATATCTGTCAAACTCTTAATATTTGAGGTCTGCTGAAGCTTTGATACCCAAGCTGTGCCACAGAGAATCCTCACCCATCACTTTTCACCTGAAACAAAGGATTTTTTACAGCTCTAAAAGCTTTCCTACCTTCTTACAGCTCCAAATAAATGCAAGGATGACTCCTCTGACTCTTTCTGAGTAGCAAAGACTGCACTTGTGACTTTTGCAGTATTTTTGCATTTCCAAGAGGTAAGGAAGGCACACTGGAGAGAAAGTAAGCTGGCGGGTGGTGCTGTAGTC